CAGCTTAGAGCGAACCACTGCGCACCGCAGCCCTTTTGTGGCTTCGAGAAAAGAGTGCCTGCCTTTTCAGCCCAGGGTAGGACTCGTGTGTAGAAGCCCGGTTTTTTAGCCTTCGCACAAAAAGCCTCTTCGTGGCACAATGAGTTCGACCGAAACCAATTCCAAAAGATGCTCAACATGCCAGTTGTACTTGAAACTTGATTTTGCAGGAATAATATGGAAATGTGGCAACATGTTGCCAGTGTGCAACTCTCAGGATGTGCCTTGCTGTCAAGCTGTAACTTCCACAGGTACCGGTGAGCTGTTACTGTCACCGCTTGCAAATTGGCACGCATGAAGGTTCTCCGCGCAGGGTAGCATCAGTGGAGCCGAGTGTCCTCGCTATAAAAGCTAGTTGCTGCTTCCAGAGGAGCTGCAGTACACGTTTCTGGCAAGAAGCAATCGTTGGCTGGCCATTGGCCAGGATGCAAACGTTCTGGTATTGCGTCCTGTGGAGCGCATGATCGAAAAGGCCTGGATCTCAACGTGGGCCCTTGACTGCCGGAAAGTAGCTCCGAGTTGCTGATAGGAGCAGTCATGCGGCAATGAGGGCATCAGCTGCAAGTAATTACGGTACGAAGAAGGTCCTCAATTCGTTCTAGTGCGCTTGCCGAAAATTTGGTGAGTATCGGGGTTGTCTCCGGAAATGCTCCTTTCTGCAGGCTTCGCTGGAGCATGTTGCTCGCACTGCTGCGAGGTCAATTTGATTCGCGACAACCCACTCGCTGCAATGAAGATGGCAGACGACGAGTTCAAGGCTGCAAAGTTTCGACAAGCACGAGGGCCTGGGCCTTGACCCCTGCGGCATGTGCAGCGCAGGGCGAAGAGATCAAAAAGTTCAAGGCCAATACCACGAGGCTGCATGGGAATGTCTGCTGGGCAGTCGCACAGAGAGTTGCACCCACGACAAATCAACACCGACAGGGAGAAGCGAAGCATCTGGCTGGAGAAGTACCACTTGTCTTGCTTGTGTCCTCGGCATGTTGCTTTAGCCGCCGCGTTTGATGTTTGGATCCGGCAGTTGTAATGTGCAGCTTCGTCAATGCTGCCTCCGCAAAGCAAACCTTTTTCCGCAAGGCATCAGGATAATTCCTTCAACCGTATAATATCCCACATTATCGCTATCCGTCACTATCCGACTTGATCGTTCATGATAAACTGAGTACACGTGCATGTTCTCTTGCGCCACGTGCTATCAACGCTGCGTCTAGGTCTCGAATTCTCAACTGGTTCTCGACAGGCCGGGCCGTTTTCATAGCTATAGGCATCCTATAGGCCCCTAGCTTACGAAAATGCTACTCCAGCTAGACAGGTGGCTTGTGCTTTTAGAGCAGCTTGGAGTGCATGGTCAAACGTCAGGAAGCACCTCTGGAGACGATGCGTGTGAAGCTTACACTGTGCCCGTGCGCAGAGTCTAAGTCTAACCCTGTTTGTTGGATCTGTTTGGGACAAGCTTAGGATGATGGAGACTGCAGTGCTCGAGAAGACTATTATCAAGCCCCTTGCTACAGTTGGTGCGCTGCGAGCAGCTATAGGGTACGCCACTATGGCCAGTCTCATTACCTTAAGTTCCAGTTCCGGCCCAAAGTCGTTTCGAAGACCTTGCAGCCCCAAGACTTCGCTTGGCAAACTAGTGAGGCTTGGCTCACTGCTCGCACTCGGCTTCGGAGAGGTGCATCGCGCTGTTTGCTGTCTGCTGTCAGGGACGAATGAGTGACAGTTTGGAGATTGGTGCAGGCCGGCGCCAGCATTGTGGCTGACAACATGCAGGGCCTCGACTCCGCAGGCGTGAATGCAATGGTCCCAGGCTGCAGACTCAGCCTCGTTGGTCTAAGCCGTCGTCACGACGCTGTGCTTGACAACACTGCACAGCCGCAAGGCAGTCGCGTGGATTGCATCATCGGGTCAGCCTCCATCCGCGACTTCAGCACGGCCACGGAGGTTCTGCAGGGCAAGGCCTGCCATTGATGTCAACCTTCCCTGCATGTGAATCCTACAAAAATTAAGATAATCTCAACTTCACAAGCATGAAACCTGATCCTCAACTTGCTTTTCAGCACACTTGCTGACAGTGCTGCTCGGCTTGCTGCCCAGCTGGTTTGTGTTCGCGAACACTCATCGCTGTATGGGTCGCACACACTCCGGCTTATCCCCAGACATGTCAACTCTACTTCGAACAGCATTACCCTTGCCTTCATGCAGACGTCCAGGCTCAGCCTCGCCAGTCCAAACGAATAAGAGCATTTTGGCACCTTGTGGCGAACAAACTGGCATCGTTCTTCATGCGTCTCCACGGCATTGCGTGGGTGTCAAACCTTGTCTTGAAGTGAAGATCGCGATCCTTAGCTGAAGACTTTGCGAACCATGCAATGCGAGCATGTACATTTGAGTCCAATTCGGATGCCAGGTCATGACGTTCGTCAACCAAATTGCAGAGATCGCCCCCACCTGAGAAGAGTTGCTGCAGTTGCTGCACAGCCATGTATGCTCAGAGCCGTGCAATGACGATGACAGTCTACGGCAAGGTTCATGGCCTCGTTTGCGAGTTCCATGGCGCTCCCAACAAGAACAGTGGTGCCGTACCGAGACAGCTTGTGCTTCTTCAAACTGCCGGGAGTCATTGGACTTTGCAGCATCTAGCAGTTTGTCGCCTACAGTTGTAGTACTACGGGCTGTGAGACCCGCCAGGTGATCGCTTCCTCCTAATCTGGCGACTTGGAGGCTTGCAATTGAAGCGCGTGGGTCATGCATGAAGCTGCAACATCTGTACCCTGGATGTTCGCCAGACTGACTGTCAAAGACTTGCAGGGAGGGCGCGCCAGAGCCAGAAGAATCGACAGACGAGCTGAGTTCAGACATACAGTCGAGAGACATCAGGTTTCTGGGCTCGGAGAAGAGATCCAGTTTCTCTTGAGGACATTGGAAGAGTACTGCTGTGAGACGTGACGAGACGACTGAAGGCTTGGCAGGAAAAGTGACGGTAGACACGCGATCTCAGACTTGCAAAAGTGGGTTCCCACTGGGACAGAGGTGGAGTGAGCGTTGTATAAGGTGCATTACCATGATCTGCACAGGAACCTCTGATTGGTTCGCCGGAGTGTCTGAGAGACGTCCACTAGGTTGCCCGACCGTGAAATCAGGGGGCGTCAGATCGCGAATGCCGATTCATGACACCTGGTAGGCCCTGATAGACTCACCTCCGCAAGCATGGGTCGCGGGAAATGCCGTTCGACCGGTGCCGGTCCAACATGTCCCAACGAACGTCCCACGAGACATCACCGGCTGAGTTGACAGCCTCTCGAGAGGCTACCGTGTCAGGAACCGGCCGAGCCGGAGTCAGACATAAACCACTGATTGCCTGCACAGCCAGCAGCACTTGCGCACAGCGATTTCAAAAGAAGGCACTGAGCAGAGATCCTCAAGCATTTTGACAGCACAAACCCTCCAGATCTCGAACTCGGAGTCGAGGAATGAACTGATCTGAACCCACGTGCAAGATCATGGACACTTTCGGTGCTCTCATCCTGGCCCTGATGCAGAAACCGCCAAACCGCTCGCGGACATGCGAAGTCATATGCTGGCCATCACGAAGGCTCGACTCGGCTAGACAGGTCTGGGGCGCACGCGCGCGCCCGGCAGAAAGGGCAGAAAAGCAGCCCGAATGTTCAACTGAACGTAAGCAAGAGGCATTTAAAGGATTTAAAGGAGCAGCGAGGAACCAATGATGCTGTTGATGCTGGGTCGAGATGTTCCCGGTGCTTCAAGAGAGCCACAGAGTGCTTCGCAGCCACCAGCTGCGGCATGTCTCAGGTTCTACTGGGTTTAATACATGAACCAGGCGGCCAGAATGCTAGTTGCTCGCACTATGGTTCATCTGGAAAGTTTTGCTTTGTAGCACTGCACAAGAAATGAACTTTGGGACTCACTACGACTCACTTCATTCCGCACCCCACAAAGTTCACCCGACATGCGGGTCCTTGAGTGTGTTGTTGTTTGTTGCCGGTGATTTCCTTGATTAGTAACTGGAGGAACAAGTCACTGGATGCACTCAGGATCCCAGTAGAGGGAGCTAATCCTATCCGTGTTGCAATGCCTGCTGGCCACTCTGTGTACCCGTAAGCATGACATTTGGATCCGTGCAGCATTCCAGGGTCGGTGCATGTCGGTGCCCACGCCCAAGCGCCGACCACAGGGTTGCAGTGCATGTCGGTTCTCAGTGAGCCTGGCCTTGATGCCGATCCGCACAACTCATTCAGCCAACTTCACTCACTCGTTTACTCACTGGCTCACACACTCCATCTCCTGCGTGTGCAACAGTGTGGCTAAAGATCTGGACCTTGCGCACTGGCTAGACCATCCTGACATGGCACGCCTTCCCCGCCGCGCACTTGTAGGATGGTACCATACAGGAGCCTCAAGTTTCGGACAGCCTGCCAATCCTGGCTTCTCCAAAAGGCAACAACCATAACAACGAAGGCAAAGACACATGGTTGATCTAAAGCTCCTTGAGCCGTAGCTTATGTGAAAGGCCAACAGCATAGCTAAATATGCCTTTGCGAAAGTTCGCGATGGTGCCGCAAAAGTTTTTTTTTGCGAAAGTTATCTGCTTAGCCTACTTGCCGTACTATTTCCATTACCATTGTTATTACTAATTCTGTTTCAAGCACCAGTACTATGACTTTGACTATTACTATGTCCATTTACTATTACTGTTACCATTACTGTTGCCTTTGCTATTACTATTGTGAATGTTGTTAGTACTGTCACGATTAGTACTAGTATTACTAGGTTCACTATTATTTCTTTTACTATTTTATGGTTACTATGATTGCCAATATCTTCTTATCATTACTATGATTATTGGTACTAGTGTTGTTGCTAGTATTGCTTTTGTTGCTATTAGTCTCCTTGTTCCTAGAAAGATTATTACTATTCTTATTACTACTATCACCACTTCTCATGCTCTTGCTACTGCAACTGCTACTGTTGTTTCTACTCCTGCTGCTGCTACTGATGCTACTGCTACTGTTACTGTTACTACCGTCTCCACTTACTACCACTACCTGCCATACCTACTACCCACAACCTTATACGACCCACCGCTGACTACTACCACCTCCCACCTCTTACGTCATATCTACGATTGCTACTGCTCCGCCTCACACTGACACTGTGTGCGGTGCCTCGTAGGTCGATTCTAAGTCAAGCAACGACAAACCAAAAAATTCGGTTCCCATATAGGGCTTAGCGCATAAGTTCCGCGTAAGTGACGTTAAAGTCGACGTAGCCAGATCAAGGCCACCCCCAAATGGGCATTGTTGGTGCATTACGCGAGTGGCTGCCGAAAGGGGCACCTTCTAGGAAGCCCTTACGACCCCTGGAATACCATGAAGAAAGCTTTTCAATCCTCCGTTGGTACGAAAGCCTGTCTAACAACCTCAAAAACCCTTCAGAAATCCTTAAGCAACATTCACACAGCCTCTGCTGCAAATCTGGAGTTGGTCGCTGCGGGATTTTTGGATTTTCTTGGACGGTTCTGTTAAGGTTTCCTTTGAGGGTTCTGAGGAAGCTTCCTGTGTTAAAGGGTTCCTTGCAGGGGTCTTTTGATGGATTTACAAGGATTCCGAGACCTCGTCAGAAATCCAACCCCTAAGACGGCCTTAAGCAACTCTACAGAAGCCCCGAAGCCTGGAGGAAAGGCTCCCAGAAACTCTCAATCAATCGTGCCCCAAAAGCTTTGCAATTGAGAAACTTTCAGGAAACTTTGTCAAGAATCTAAACCCTAAGACGGCTTCAGACGGCCTCCATTCCAATTGTTGTAGCTTTCAAGCAGCCCTGGAATTCCTAGGAAGCCTGTCAGAAGCTCTTAATTATAATGCCAGCAAAAACTTGGCCTCGATAATCTTGTAGCTTAATACTCAGGGTTCTAACTTGCAAAGGTATGTATATATGCCTCCGCGAAAGTTCCGCGATGATGTTGCAAAAGTTAATTTTTTGTCGTGAAGATGGTCATTCCGGGATGAAGCAATTTAGATCAACATCCATATGAGCATTGATCTAAGGTCCGTGCCTTTGGTTTTGCATCAGAGGAAATGCATTGTGACTTCGACTGCTTCGTGACGGGTTTGCGAGCCGAGCGCAGTAATCCGCCAAAGTATGGTTTTATGAAAACCGTAGCAGTTTTTGTGCGAAAGATCCGCGATAGTCGCCGCGACAGACGGACGAGTTTTCAGTCCCCCTGGCCCACGACTTGGAGTCGCACGTTGCGACCTCATTCCTAAACCTGAACCCTTTCAAAGCCTCGAGAACAACACTGCCAAGCTCCACAAACCCTCAAACCTCTAGCTACAACTCCAATCACTACACCACCGCCGCCCCCACTATTGCTACGACAACGACGACGGTGCGACGATGACCTGCACTGCAGCCGTTACTTACGAGTTACTGCTACTGCAGGTACTTGTACTAACGTTGCTGCTGCTACTGCTGCTCTTCTTACTACTGCATCCGAGACGTCAGCCGGTGGAGCGTCCACACCAGGAATATCGACGCAACCCGAATTTCGACATTGATGCCCGACATGTGGACCGGAATGCTCAACAGAACACCCACATGACATACCGACGTCGAATCGAATGCGGCTGTCATATCCAGCACAGCAGGGCTTGCAGAAGCTGGCCGAGATCAGGCAACAGTAGGATGGAAAGATTGGAGTTGGGCCTTTTTCTTGTGCCACAGCATTGTCGGAGCTGCGATCTGAGGTTCAGCCGCAAAAATCCAGCCCAAAAATGCTTCGACTAAACAGGGTGATTGTCATTTCTCGTGGCACAATTCGATACAGAATGACGCATGCGCCTAGCAAAAAAAACCTCAGCGACCTCATATACTCCACTAGCCTCCCTTTTGTGTAGTTTTGCTGGCCATCGTGGGCTTCCTGTCGGTTTGCCATGTTCTTTGCCAGGCATTGCTTGCTACTTATTCAGTGGCGATGATGCAGGCCTGAGCTACGAACAGCAGACGCGGCTCGCCGACATGGCAGTGGTGTCATGTGTCAGGACCGGGTCCAGAGTTGGGGAAAATCTCGTGCTTGGCAAACATCATCAGCACACACCTGTCGATCGTTGTCTTCGCTGATTCTTTTGACTTGTCCTGTAACTTCGTAAGCCGGCGGCAGGATTTTGGGCTGCACCCATACCAACAAAACCTTGGCAGAATACCGCGGGCATCCTGGTCTTGGCCTCAGTTCTGCGAACTCCTGCTGGTCTGTCTATCTTCACACAAAGCTTTTGACCCATCTCCAGCTCTACAAGCCAGCGCAGGCCAAGTCTGATGCTAGCTTACTTATCTCCACGATGCAATACTCAGCAGCGCCCGGCTTCCTTTTGTGCCAGAGTCCATGTTCCAAAGTCGCATCGAACCGCCTTTGTTCAAATCTGGGCCATCCGAGTTGCATCAGCTGGACTTGGAAAAATCGTGATACTCGGGATCCGGGACGACTGAGTGTTGTTCGAAAATTGATGGCGAAACTGAGATAGCTCGTGGACATAGGTAGGCAAAGTGATCTTGCCTCGGAATGGAGGCAGAAAGGCGCAACTCAATTGTTTGTGTCCATGGAGGCGACAACGGGGCCCCCCCCAAAAAAAAGATTTTGGTCCGGGGTTTTTTGGTGAACTCCTGTGCAGAGGGCACCGGTGTGAGCGTGCGAGCTCCGCCCCACAGGCGGAATTTAGCTCCAACGGCTTGAGCTTACGGATTTCAGTCTGTAGTGTGCGTTTGGGGTTGAAGCTGGCTTTGAATCCCTAAGCCGGTGTGTCATGCACTCCGCGGCTGCAATTGGACCAACTTCCTGGACCTCAGATCTTTGCCAGCTGAGGTCTCATCCAAAGACTTGGAGCTCACTGCAGAGTGAACTTGAGCTTTGGTCTTCACCGCGGTTGGGCAATCGAGGCATGATGCCATGAAGTGCTGACTAGTGGCTATAGTCTATACGTATAACTCATACAGCGTGTCTGAAGATCTTGTGCACCCGGCGGTTCCACAGCTTCCTGCTGCGACAGTGCACATTTTGCGCAGCATTCGTGTGTTTTCCACAGTCAGGATGAGAAGCGTCCGCCGAGGACAACTAATTCATCGTGCATTCCAAGAAATCGGCCGTTGCGAACGGAGCCGGTTCTGTCTGTGGCGCTTTGGGGTATATTCCCGTCCTCATTCGGGCTTTGACGCATCGGTTGAAACGGCGAATCTCCTACAGTAGCAGGGCCACGCTATTCGGTTCCTTGTGGCCAAGACTTGATGTGGTCTTGAAATCCTGCCGTTCTAAAGGATGTGGGAGTTTTCCAAAGTTGACAATCGGCAACCGTTCTCCCGCCACGGTATACACCGAGTTTTTGTCGGATGCGATTCGCGTTTCCGTCTCCAGAAACCGTGTTCCAGCCACAGTCCTGTGAATTGTTTGCTCCCACTACGTGCCCGTGCATTTTCATCCACAGTGTGGTGCGCAGTTTGGACTCATGGGGTGATCTTTGGAGCCTCAACGTGGTGCCTCGCTGTTTCGGGTTTATGCTGGCAAAGTACAAAGTACAAGTGAAGCACCCGGAGTACGAACGATGGAGGTGTTTGCATTGGGAACACGAGCGATGCATCTCACTGCCGACAGTCCTACAAGCTCAGTGTCACAGAAGCTAGCATTCGACACCTTCAGTCGGCTTTACATCGAAGATAAAATCAGGCCCTCATTCCCTTGCACTCCCGATCTGACTGAACTGTGCAGGGCGCTGTCGGCAGCGAGTTCAAGATTGATGCGTCGCTCCCTTGGCTGTCTTAGGTGTTCTTTTGAGCCGTGTGACTTGTTGTTGGCCCAAGAATGTGTTTGCTTCCAGACTTCAGCAGTTTAGCCATCTTTGCCAGAAATGGTTCACCGTTGCCGTTACATGCACAGTCTCTGGAGATTACGGCATTCTCGTATCCGAATCCTTGTGTGCGGGTGAATGTGTGTATGGAGACTGGTGGGTATTGGCCATATTCGGCTACAGTCTGGCACTAGCTAATCTAAGTGTCTGAAAATCTTCGAAACTGAGCACGTAGAAGCCGAACTCAGCTTCAGGCAGGTCACTGGATCAAGGGGGCATTGAACCAGGATGAACAAGCACAACCACTTGGCCTTGCAGAGTCGAAATCCACGATATGTGGTGGGATAAAGTCGACTCGGCCATGGCCAACCCACTGAGGGAGCGACTGAAGCTTCCTGTGCGCAGGTGATTGCAGGTGAAGGTCTGCTGGGTGTGTCATGTTGCTTCGTGCACATGTGCTCACTGGGGCGGGGATCGTGTTCGAGTGGGGGAGGCAGGCCATGGCAGGCCATGAATTCCGTTAGTCCGCGATTCAAACTCTGCCCCAACTGTGAGGTCGTACCTTTCACCGAACGTGAGCATTGCGGAGACCTTGGAATTCGCCACGAAGGCAAACTCGGTCCATTGTGTCCTGAAGCCATGCCGACTGCATCGTTGGGCACGGAAGTTTGCCATTCACAATCTTTCACATCAGGTGTACCACGTCAGCATTCTGGCTTCGCAAGATTGCATAACATCGTGCTCCAAGGTACGAAGCTAAGTTGCTTGCACTTGAAAAGTCAGTCGCTTTGCGTGCTCTGTTCTTGTCAGGACCTGCCTCCCTCCCTTCCCTTTCTGTCCTTGCCTCGCTCTCCCTCTTTCCCACCCTCCGGGTGCCTCTCGCTCTCGCACTCCCTTCCCTCCTTGGATTGCCTCTGACAGGCATTAGCACGACAGTGCAGACTCATAGATAAGGCCGGAGTTCTTGTTGAAGTTTTGGCGTGCTCTTGAGTGCCTCATGCAGCCTGATTGGAAGACCAGCATGCACTTCGGCAGGTCAACATGAAGGGGTCCAAGACTCCTCTGAGCCTGTATGTGTACGATGTGGCGGCTGCCTGAGATGATTGCCTTGTTGCATCAGTCCGATTAGACGAGCATAGACGAGCTTCAGGAGACAGATCGAGTTCCCGTGCATGAATACAGGCTGGTAGCTGCGACAAGTTGCTGTGTCGGCTTGTGCTGTATGAGTTGTCATGATGTTGGATGCCTGCAGTACGGCGCTGGAGTGGAGTGTGCGGCAGCGCTTCAAAGCACGTCAGCTCTTCGAGGCATGATGCCACGTGTGTCTAAACCTTGGCATGCAATGGCTTTCCGGCATTGAAAGAGGTGGAGAAGACGAAGAAATTGACGAGCGAGGTCAACATCGTGAGCTTGGCATGTCTTAGAAGCCCACGACAAGAGCAAATGACCTTTCCTGTGGCAGGTTGAAGACTTCATCAACGCTAGTGTCGATGTTAAAGCTATGCGAAAGCTCTACACCACTGAGTTCCTGCAGCTCTTCAACATGGGGTGACCGGCTTCCCACACGATTGCAATGGGACTGTTTCCGTGCCAGCGTCAGCGCAAGTACGCACATGTTCAATTCAGTGGATGACGCGCAGCTCTGTTGGTTGTCCCGTCGGTGGTCCAGTTGTCGGTCCTGTCTTGTCGGAGGCGGCCTGTTGGTGGTCCTGTCTCTAATTCAGTTTGCGGGTCCTGGTGTGGTCCGATCGGTACTCGAGTCGGTGGTCTTGTCGGTTGGGTGGTCCTGTCGGCTAAATGGCCGTGGTCTAGTCGGTAGCGGCCGGTTGCTGGTCCGGTGCTGGGTGGTCCGTGGTGGGGTCGGCAGGTGTTCAGATGACCAGCAAATCCAAGGCAAACAGCGCACAAGAGCAAAAGAAAAGGATCCATGGCTGTTTGGGTACTACATGTCTAAGCTAAGTTAATTGATCCATGTAGCACCAACATGAGCCGCCAGGTACCAGAACTACTCAGAGGGTGAATGGCGTGTTGCCCGACGTCTGCTGAAGGCAGTGATTCCATAATGCACGTCCTCATCGGGACACTCCACATTGTCAGGCAACACAGGACATGCTCGGTTTCCAGGAGCCGAGGGCCACCAACTTCGCGCGCCGACGAGTTGCGATGTGTTTCGAGCTCTGGTGAACTGCTTCGAAGGATGGCCCCAGCACGGCTCTCTTAGCTTTCATGGAGACGCCTTACCAATTCGAGGCCGCACTCAAACTCGCAAGACCGCAGATCCAGACTGCCAATTGTCCCTCAGGCTCCTCCCAAATGGACAGGTGTTCGAGACGTCCCTCTGTGCGGCCCTCACAGAAATCGGCGTTACAGCAAGCCTGTTCGGGCTTCCAAGCTTCAGGGTTCGGTGCCGGGCGCATTTCTGAAAGTGCACCTGAACAGGTGATGCTTGCGGTGACTGCCTTCACGGGTTCAAGACACTCCACACCGAGAAGTCGGCAGGGGTTATTGCACGGAAGCGCACCAAAGTTCGACACAATGTCCAGCGACTGGGTTGCCTATGGTTGCATGTACGTCATGAGACCACCAAGTTGCACCAACCGCGAAACATCTTTGCGCTTTGAAAGACAAAGTTTCGCGAAGCGAAGTTTTTCTGTTTCACTTAGGCTTGGCTTCGACAATTGCGTTGTTGTTGTTGTTTAGACAGATCGTGTGCTAATGCCGGCTGCCAAGCCCAAAAATCCGAGACGTGGCCCAGTTTGCTTGTCGAGTCCATGTATCGTGACGATCACTTTCGCGATGCATGTTCATGTCTCGAGGTTATACATGGATGCATGAGCCCGGGTCCAATCAGCGAAGCAGCAAACCCGAGCAAATCTGCTTCATCAGCATCTTCACGCAAGGTGGAAGACTGCCGGTCTGCAACGTACCTACAACCTCTTTGCATCCCAACTTCTGCGCACAGCTTTCTAAAAAGACTGAAAGTCCATATCGTTGGCATGAGCTCGGCATGCCTCCATTGCTTCCTTTGTGGCCAGAGCCATGGAAGCATTGGAATTCGAAGCAGGCGCCCTTGCTGGGGTTGCAAGACTTTGATGCCGCTGACAGCCTGTAAGCGGCATCTGTCTCCGGGTATGCAAGAGCTGCCTTCCCCCAACTGTCAGGTTCATCTCCGCATGACTTTCTGGTGCAAATCCTTCAGGGCATCTTCCGGCCAATGGAACCTCCCTCTCCTCAGGCCGAGCGGCGTGGCTTGAAGATCCGATCCCGAAAAAGGACTGAGCGGGGCTCCCATGGGCCTTTGACAGGTTCATTGCTGTTTGCAGGGTTGGGAACTGTCTGAACGTAACACGTTCTCTCGGCTTCGAGTTAGGGGCTGAATATACCGGTAGGTTTTGTTCACGTGCGCATTTCCCTGGAAGCCCGGTGCGGTGTTGTCGATGCGCTAAAGGCTTCTCCCAAAGTCTAGAAGTTGGAAGTTGGAAGCGCCGGGATAGTTGCGCTTGTTTGGTGTGCGATGGGTCAGCTTGAATGCGCATCCACGGCCTCTCTTCTTTCAGAAGGGGCCGCGACGAAAAGGTTACTGCTCGGATCTTGCACCTTCGGTCTTCTTCCAATAGCTGAAAGGCAAATGCAAAACCTGTCCAAGCATTTTTTGTAGAAAGGACGATCGGAGAGCCTCCAGGCGAAGGGAGGCAAGAGAGGGATTGAGAGTGCGTCTGTTGCGATATTAGCAAAGAAGGCATCACTGTATCCTGTGGATTCGTCTCGATTCTCGGTTTGGGCTGAGGCTGCAGGCCTAATCGCGATTGCCGCTGCTGTATCGGTGCCTGCAGTTGCCCGTGGCTGCCTTACACATACAGACTACTTGACGGGGTCACCCACCAAGTTGATGTGCAATTGGTCACATGAAACATGTGTGCAGGCGCAGGGCCATTTGTCAGTTTCTTGTCTGACGTTCTGCCACATTCCCAGTTGCAGCGGAGTGTTCCACAACACACTGTGATTCTGCTGCTCTATCATGACACGACTCTGTCGAATGATCTCGAGAGGCCTATAAAGGAAGCTCAGCGCGCTTTTGCGAGAGCTGACTGGGAGATCCGAGATGGTGCTCGTGCATTGCGTACTACAATTGCTGGTGATGGGGCGAAGCACGGCGTTGCAGGTGTGAACCGAGTCACGGAAGTCGTGACCTCTCCCGTCAAACCGCCAGAGGCCGGCACTCTCAGCTTGGGCACGTGGCGTGGCCTGCATGCGCTGGACGGCGAGGTGCTTGATGCCACTGGAGCAGAGGCAGCGGTCATGGCTGCAGGCCTTAGCCTTGGGCTGCTGAAGAATATCCAATCGCAAGCTAAAGCCGACAACCGACAGCCACGTCGTTATACGTCGTTGCATAAGGCAGCCATGCCGACAGCTTTTTCATTCTGTGAGAGACTGCTGTGGCGCCGGGCATATCGAACTTCTATTACCTGCAATCCCAATTCAATCTGCGTTTGAAAGCCCACTCACCCAAATCCACCTTGACACTTAGACATTCATGCAACTGCGGCCAAAGGCTCCAGAGAGTTGTGCCCGTGGACCAGCAAAATCCATGTCAATGCTTGACACTACTTGATCCGCCAATTCAATATGCTGCATGACATGTGCAGAACTGCTGGCACAACCATCGCATGTTTCTGAAACACTTGACGAACATTGTGGTTAAGGCACTGGTTCAATGCAACCCTGTCCTGATACCACTTGACAACGCGCTCGGCAGCCAGTATCGCGGATCTCAATGACACACTTTGAAGGCAGCTAAGCTCTACATCAACGGTTGCAGAACTTTTGCCTGGGCTTCCCACCGCCCCAGTCCAGTTTGAAAGCAACAGAAGGAGCTGTTCAGATGACAGCTGCTGTTGACAGACGAGTCCTGTGCAGATACCTCCCACAGTCAGTAAGGGATATTCAGGGATCATCTGCGTTGCACTGCAAGAAGTGCGAATATCTCTGCCAAGATTGCGTGAATTTTGACGCAGACACAGGTTTCCCACACTGTTACGGTTTGCCTGGTGTCGTTTTCAGGAATCTGTAAACGGCACTCTTCAGTGCCGGGTCTATGCAAATTAGCAAATCTTGAAACTGTGGCGTCCCAGAATAGCCACTGTGAAGCTCACCTGACGTTTGCATCTAGCAGCTAGCAGGCGACCTAGTTGAACTATTCGTGGGCAGACAGATGTCAGGAATTTGTGTATAATTAGCACAGTGATGTTGCAATGCTCAATGACCTTGCCGTAGGCGCTTTGGGCTCGATATCAAAAAGTCTTCTACCTCCGCTAACGTGGCTCATCGTGGCTCCAGTTTCCCGCCTTTTGTTTCAAACTGGTAGCGGAGCAAGTGGACATGCAGCGTAGATCGAGGGCCTCAAGTTGTCCAATACGGAATGTCGGTCGCCGGTCTAAAGTATCAAGTCCACCTGCCGAAACCAAGAATGGTTCGTAAGTTTATTTACCTCGGTACGGCACAGTCCTACCATGACTGGGAGTTTTGTACGCCCCCCAACACAAGGAGTGTCGGCGTCGCGAAGTACTGAAAAACATGCGAGGCTCTGTGCGTGTATGAAGAAATCGCAGTCGCAATCTCCGGCGTGGTGAAGCAGACGCGTTATGAGTTTGCTATCCCGCAACGGATTGAGGCCAGCAGCGGCATTCTTGCGAGTCCCTCCAGTGCTAGGAGCAGAGACCATCCTGTAAAGAAGCCACCGGCACACGAAGTTGAAGATGACACATTTCACTAGGTTAAAGGCAACAATACGAGTTAAGTCCGGAGGCAAGATTAAAAATCGAAACTTACAGTCGCCGTTGTCGGAACTGACGTCCCGCAGTAGATAGTAGATGTCTCAGGCGCGGGGCCGTAGTGTCGTTTTCGTGGTGCACCTACGGCCAGTTGAAGCCCGGCACCGCCCGGAGGTAGCGCCGCCAAGACCGCGCCCGCGAAGCCGCACGGGCATGTAGCCGCCCTCGACGAGTATAGCGAAGAAGATACCAAGAAAGTTGCGCATTTGCGCAACACACGCTCCTGTATGGAAAACTAATCCTGTGGCGATGTCTGATCGGAGTTCAGGCAAGGGCTGTGGCTCAGATCATGGAGCATAGTCCTTCCGAGGGCAGTGACACCATATCTTTTGTCAGCGCAAATTGCCTAGGTATGAACGTGTTTTGTACACTTACACATGGTATGTTTATCGGGGTCGTAAAAAGAAAGGGCCATTAGCAAATTTCTTAGACTCCAAGGCCGAAGGTATTAGCAGCGGATGGCGGCTGAAACGCTTCGCATTAAATGCAATCCCATTTACGCTTGGGACAGAAGAGAAAAAATCGCCGTAAACGCCAAACAGCAAAAAACCGCGCAGGAGTCCAAGCACTACAGATTCAAATCCCCCAAGCGCAGGAAATCGGACTGCACATATCGTGAGGCCACAGTAGCCGAATCCGTTTTAATCTGAACCTAAGAGCTCGTATGCCCTACGTCACCACAGAATTTGGAAAAGCGCGTGTATCAGGAATGGCCGCTGCAGATGCTGCTGGCCTGGACAGGCCTGTAGAAAATTCAACCGTTTTAAGGCGATTTGCATCGGACATGAACAGGCCTTCGAGTGCGGGAAGGTTTTTTGCGCATACAATGTTGCAGGCAGAAGCTCGCGCGTCGTCAGGCAGAACTTGCGGAGCAGGATTGCTCTGACAGCAGGTAATCGGGGTTCATCCTGCTGTATACCTGCAGCACGCATGGATTCGTGAGGAGCCGAAACGACTTCGAGGGCGGGCAGAAGCTGGCCTTTTCGAGTGCTGCCCCCGGCCGAATGTCAAGCCGGCAAGGAAAGGGTTCGCTAAAGCAGCTGGCTCAAGTTCGCACTATGTTCCGAGCATGTCGCTTTTTTTTTCCGCTTGACGTCTTGAGCTGCCGAAGCTTTTCGATTGACAGCGCTATTCGCTAAATTTCGCAACAAAAAGCAAGCTCCCCGCACATCAAAATGGATTCACGTGGGAAAGGCTCCAACTCTAGCCTGATTGTGGGCCTAAGCAGCACGCTCTTGTTTCAAGAGGCTGCTAGCTGTAAGTGCGAGTTTCGCCACCCGGTGTTTGTTCAGGCACCTCTTTAACCCCAGCAAAGCTTCACTGGTGACTTCATTCTCGAAGCACGCGCGCATCAAGCCGAGTACGCCGCATGAAGATCGACATGCAATATGTTTTCGGTGCATTAAAGACCCCGCTACCACCCTCCTCTAAATCTTGCAGACTCTAAACGAGATTGCTGGTGTCATGGTTCTTTTGAAACAAGTCTCAAAAACATGCCAGCGCTTGTGCAAGGCTCGCTTGATGTGACGACTGTCAAGTGTTGACGCAAAAAGCGGTCTTTGGAAGCTTGGCTCACGTCTCGGGGCTCCAGTTTGGAAGCAAGATTTGCCACTGGTTGAGGATTTAAAATTTAGATGAAGCTTATGTAGGAAGAATTGCAAGTGATGTTTGCACGTGCTCCGATGATGCTGCTCGTTTTTCTTACGCAGATGTCAACGAACACACCTTCCAGATGGCAGGAAATCCTCGGTATGTAAAGGTATGCATTCACAGGCTTGCCCTTTGTTTTGAGTTCAGACGTGCATCAATCAATCAACTGGATTTCCAAGTCCGAATGAAACGAGTACCTTCAGTGGAGATGTCACCATGGAATATGGGAATGCCAGCTGTCCAACATGGATTTGTGTGCTGCAATGTCTCTGCCAGCGCCATTCAGGGGTTGAAAGTTGAAAGGGAGCTAATGCATTGCTGACAGTTGAGGTCATCAAGATCTGTCACAGACAAATTGGCCAAAACCACACTGGGCTGAAGACCCGTAGGCAAGCTTTTGTCTATTTTCCAGAGGACATGATGAGAAATCAGACCAAACTCAGTGAGCTTCACGACAAACGTTGTAAGACTTAGGACTTAGGTTTAGTGTCCAAGCAGGCCATCACGCGTCTGGCGAATGCCGCCAAGAAATGCCGCCTGTCCACACCAGGGTCGAAGTTGCGGATGTCAACAGTGACCAAATTCGCTGAAGGATCCAAGATCGGATCGCCTTGGCAGATCCACGAGCTCCGAGCTGGAGTTGATAATGTGCTAAATATTGTCAAATCTTCCAATGGTTGCAGAACATCGGACAGAGCAAGCCAAGACGCGTCATGTTGAAGATAGCCCTGCCTTCGATTGCATGGGGTCTTGTGCACCTCAATGCGAAGTCTGAGACCACCGGTTCGAGCGGACCTGAACACGGACATAAGAAATAGTGCATGTGAGCATGGCTGCATGCAGAAAACTTTGCAACGCATGCTTCAATTCCTTTGTCTCGGACATTCGCGGGTCATAAGTGGTACCAAACACCGCCTCTCGAAGTAGTCGAAGCGTTTCTTGAGTCAGCCAAAACCTCGAGATCACGGCGTCCCCGAGGCTTTTGTCTGAGTCCGCGACACAAACGTTGAAGAAGGTCTGCGAAGCCAAGCTTGAGCGGCGCGATATATATATGAAATCGGTGCTTCTTGTACCGGACAGTATTGAGACAGCTCCGTGCCGTGCAGAGCTACTTAAAGACTGATGTTTGCTTGGTGAACTTCGCATGCGAGACAGATCTGCATAGAGTTAGTGAAATAAAATGCAAAATTGAGAAGTCCCTGTCATTGCAGTGCTCTGGGCCGCACCAGGAACGAACCTGCTACTTTTGGCCGTCTGGAGTGTCACCATGTACCGGGGAACTGTAAGGCATTGTGGCTCTTCTCAAGGTGCAGAATGTGATGAGTTTTTTGAGCTCATTGCGCACGCAGAGACCCAAGAGTGGTCGAAGTCTGTATTGTAGTCCTCCTGCCAGAAATGCCGACTTAATTTCGACGCCTGGGTTTTTTCTGGCCTTGTTCACACAGTCAACAGTCACCTGTGGGGCGGGGCGGGTCTTTGTCCGCACGGATTTGGAAGGTTGTCGCTTCGGACATTTGCTTTTTCTATTTGCCACTGCGTTTGTTCGAAGTCTGGCGTTTGCCGGAGCCTGCCCTGCATCAAGTAGCGCGGTTCCGTGAGGCGAGGCCTGTGCCGCCTTTAGCTTGTTGACATCCATGAGTCGGTACTGAGCCTCTGCCTCGAGAAGTTTGTCGCATGGCGGTTGTTTGTGTGCTGTCTTTTTCTCCTGCCCCTCCACAGCCCACGGCTGCTCGGTCCTGTAAATAAAACCTTCAAGCTGCATGGCTAAGGAGCGGGTTGAGGTGTGAGCATCCTCTGAAAGTAGGCGGCGTATCTTACGAATCATGAAATAGGAGAAACTTTTGTGGTTGATTCGCTGTCTTGCAACATGGACTTCACGTTTGAAGTATGTCACGCGTTGTCGCTGGTGTGCCAGTACGAAATGGTGGCATTCTTGAGCGCGTCTCTGTCGTAGTACCGAACGGAGGAGATGAATCATCCGCCATCTGAAAAGGCTCCTGCTGGTTTTCCGTCAAAGTCGAGAGATGCACTGAGCAAGTTTCTTGGCATGGGATTTGCAAGTCGCTGGCCCCTGCCATGTGTTCTGCCCCTCAGTCTGAAACTGCTTGTTTGTGTGAAGGTGCTCTTGTAATCCTTCGCCGACAGCCAAAGCCCGCGTATCGTTTGGTTCGGTAGTTCGGTATACGGTATCTGTGTTGACCTCACTCTTTTGATGTTGTTGAGCAGGTGCGAGCTGCTGAGCCATCAGTTGATGCTGTGTGTGTTGAGCTTGAAGAAGTTGGAAGGGAACGTCCTCACTGTTGGGCAAACCTGGCGGGGGCTTCAACGACGAAGGCTGCCAGGTATAGTGCCTCTAGAGTCTGGAGCACTGACTGATTTGCCAGAATCATCCGTGTGCTCCACTGATGCCTGGAGAAACGTAAGCTTTCAGCGACGAATTCTCACTGAGGACAGAAATGCTGGGCTCGGTTTGAGACTCAGTGCTGGGCATGCACGGATTGGACCAAGAAGTCTACAGCAGGGAATGCGTGGCGGGGCTGGGCTGTCCAACGCTCTTCCAAGTTCTAAGGAAAGGAGCAAGAGGTAAGGGCATTCATGTCATGAACCAGGTGTGCTTTGTTTCGGAGGTTACGATGCACATGGCTGCAAACTTGGAAAAGCCGGCCTTCCAAGCGTATTGCAGCTGGAGGGCATTTGGCGAGGCGAGGACGGCTTACACGCGGAGTGTGCAATCGGCTAAGCATCGGCTTTTGACCGCCGGTTCAGACGGCAGGCTCTTCGTGAGATGAGCACCGCCTCAACTACGAAATTTAGACGCGTGCCTGGACCTGAGCAATGTGAATCCACATTGAACGCCAAGGTATCAGACGGCACAGATAGATTCCTTTTCGGGCAATCCTAGCTTTTTCGGTCAACTTAGTGATGGCATTCCAGCCCGCCTCCCTCTTCATGCCATTCAGAAAGTAAGAAATTACACTCAATGCCCAAGCATTGACCCTCTAGAGGGCTTAGGGCAGATCAGCCATTGAAACTTGCACCTGTGAACATGCAGATTTGGGCAGCAGCTGCTCGCCGGTCGGCTGCAACCTTAAATAGCAGCCTCATGCCGTGTCTCAATCTTCACAGACCAGCTAGATGTCTTCGAAGGCTGCGGATGTTTCCCCCCAAGCCAACGATCAAAGCATCACCTGAGCAGGCTTGATGGCATCGCACTCTCTGACAAGTTGTTGCACAACAGCTTTTTAATACAATGGAGGCGACGATTCTCGTCAAGCAGATAGAGGCCATTCCTACTGTCCGTGCTGCGCACCATGCAAAAAGTCCATCGTTCGTGCGAATGGTACATACCAGGCGATCAAGTGCTTCAAGAGCACTAATATACATTGTTTGAGCCTCCTCTAGAGAGAGATTTTTCATTTGACAACGCGGAACTATGCGAGAGGGTCCCTTGCGCAGCAAGGCCAGCAGGCCATTCTGAATAGGCCCATAGAGCACATACCAAGGTATACAGACCAGAATGGCCGAGGAGCAACCCCCACCAGCAGCTAGCTGCTGTAGTGGGGTGACAAACAAGATCCTCCATCTATGAGATATCGAGAACGCCCAGCGGCGAATCAGAGGCCGCTCCCCAAAATTGTTCGCAAATGCTTTCAATCGGCTCGGGGCGCGAAGATCGACATCTTCAGAAAGAAGAATTTGGGTACGAGGAAGAGCGGCGGGTGGGGAGGCACAGGGGGCGTGGGCAGAGATGGGGGAAGGGTTGCGGGGGGGGGGGGGGGGGGCGGAGAGTGCGGCTTAGCCGAGCGAAAATGAGGTCTGTAAACACCGTGGTTTTGCAACAAATGTGACGAGGATGCTCATGCGAGCTCAGGGACGGCGAGCATCATGAGCATCTGCTGGGGGTCCCGGCGGCCCCGCCCAACTCCCCTGATGCTCCACTGCATTTACTAAAGAAATATCGGCACACGGTCGGCTCGATCGAAACAGGTAACCGGTACTGATCATGATTTCTGCGGAGTACGTGCTGACTCGCGTCGTGAAACTCCTTCGAAGATCTTCGGCAGTGCCCATGTACATCATCAATTTCTTTTATGATTTCTCCCCGGGCGATGGCGGGAGCCTGGCAAACATGAGCGAGTGGAGGATGCATTGCTGCATCATGATGCATCTCTATGAATGGTTGACTCACTGTATGGCACTGAGCTTCCAGTGTGTACAGCGATTGCGGTCAGGCCGCCCTGGTTGCCTTGACCAATGCCGGATTGTGCTCGAAAGTAACACCACAAGTGGACGAGGCCTGTCTACCTCCGCAGCATGCGTAGGAACTTCACTGACTTGTTGCAGGTACTTGTGGAAGTTTGGGGCGAAGGTGGAAGTGAAGAGCTGGTTCTACCGATATTGATTGAAGGCGGGGGTCGGCCAAGTCGGCTCGACTGGCGTCCGCCATATTTCGTTGATGCTTGTGTTTATGTCCTACATGAAACTTAGCAGACGTAGCACTAAGCTATCGTGCTCTACACGGCAGGTGATCCGCTGGTGGATGCGCAGCTCCTTCTGTCTGAGGATCTCATGACATGCCGTGGATTTGAGCATGGCTGCACGGAAAGAACAAAAATCTGGATGCCGCTGTAGAAACAGATCGTCTGGCCGGGAGGTGGAGCAAGAAAACACTTATTGTTTCCTTGTGCAGGATCTTGGCGACTTGACCCCAGTTTAACGCAGCGACAGACAGTTCTTCGTTTCGAGCAAGGAACGTCCCAATATGTCCCAATGTGAGAATGATGGGGGCACGACATGTCGTGGGTGATTTCGCCGGTTTCGATGATCTAGCCGCACTGTCACACCAGCCGCAGAACCAAACAGGAGTTGAGGTCAACACCACCGCCCCACACATGGCATCGCTCTTGATTCTAGCTTCCCACATCGCCGTGTCCATTGCTTTGCAGTTTTTCGCACAGGAGCTTGCACCGCCAGTGCTTCCTGACCCGATAGTGGCAGTACTTACGGCATGGCTCGAAGAGGCCAGTGCTTTAAATCGATTGCACGAGCTGTTGCAAAACACCCAGCCGAGAATATTGCTTGCACTGGGTTTGGCCAGGCTGCTGGACCAGGATATGCTTCCTTGCAAAACTATTATGCTCGAGTCTGAGGAATCGAAGGTTTAGGATGCAGCGAATTGTTTGGCATCCCGAAGGTGAACTCTCGCTGGCGTGGCAGAAATGAATACTCCAACATGGTGTCGGCCTGACACAATTTGCTTTCCGGCTTCAGCAGCTCAGCAAGTCAGCTAGCGCGACAAAGCTCCAGCCAGGTATGTTCCAAAGCAGCGCCTTTTCCAACTCACTTTGCATAGGTGAGGGGTGAGCCTCGCTCGACTCCGCATTGCAAGAAAAGATGTGCGAGCGTAACACTCAGGCTGGCATTTGCTGATTGCTCGCCACCTTGCAGACAAGACTTTTCTGAGAAAGAGAGACAAGCAAGTGTATGATTCGGGTTCGGGCAGGGAACCTGAATGGAGAAGCCAACTTGATGAGTTGAGACTTCGACATCGCCGCCCACCGAAGCGGCGCCAGTCTAAGCCTCGAATTCTGCCTAGATCTCACGCGAGGCTTGCCGGCAAGCACACACGGATACTGAAGAGAGAGAGAGAGAGATCAACACTGACCTCCCATTCTCAAGTAAACTTCTCAAGTAAACTAAATGCTCGGATCTACTTGGATGGAGATGGTGGACATCTGTGCGTCGTTTAGCATGCGACGTATAGCACACTGAGTGGTCATGCAGTATCCTGCAGTATGCGTAACTACCCTTCGGACTCGACTGAAACCACGCAAGAAGCCACGTCTATGTTGCTTCGTGTTGTCTCCGCAGGCCTGGTAATCGTGTAAGCTGTTCCGGTGAGTCAGTGGGCAATAGTGGCCGCAAGGCAAGCACAAGGCAGCCCTGCTTGACTGCATATTCTGGCACAAGCCGCTCGTCTAGGCGTGCTATGGTGCTGTTCTCTCACTCGGATCATGGGACGGCGAAGCCGCTTGGTCAACGCGTGTGTGAAACAGACAACCAATGAAAGGCATGATGATGGCCCGTTCATCGACTACATGTTCCGGGAAGTGGCCCGCCGGGGGCTGTTGCGAGATGAAGAAGCTGTGGCCAATTTCACAGCTGACCCACTATCCTTTGTTCGACGTATCTTGACATCTGACTATGCAGCACAGGCCACGGCTGATCAGACGCTGGTGCGTGAGCAGCTCATTTGGAAGATGACGCATGTCCTGCGAGCCGATCATTCGCCATCCGCCAGAAATCATTGGAAGGTTGTGCAGGAGGTTTACCGAGTCCTGCGTGCAGCAAGATTGCTGAGAACTAGGGTGAGCTTGCATCTACTTCAGAAGAACATCCAGGAGACCATTGATAGGAAGGAAGCAAGAAAGCAGGCCGAGACGACATTCAATCGGCACAGTCGTTTGAAGGACTTCTGGCCACAGTTCCACAACTCTTCACGGCTGGGTACTCCGTTGGATGTCAGGAGCTTCACAGCAAGTGACGTCGCTTTGCCAGCGCTGGTACCCAGTCACTTGGGAAAGGCAAAGGCTTCGAAGGCCTCAAAAAGCCTCAAGGATCTCGAGTGGAAGACTCGCAGTGCCCGCAGCCATTGCTCTGCAGGTTCCTGGAACTGGCTGCCAGCCGTGACGGAGCCGCCCCTGAACGCAGTCAAGGATGGTATTGCGCGGTCTGCATCAACTTCCAAGATCAGTCCGGACGCGAAAGACGCGAAGCAAGACGCGGCTTCAAAGGACATGTGCGGCCTGACCAGTTACGTGCGAGAAAAGGGAGAGATGTTCCCAAAACTCATTCCAGACGCCACGACGTTGCCCACATCATTGCTTCCAAGCATTCAGGACAATCCAAAGGAGTCTGTCCTGCTGTACAAGGGCAAGTTCCAGCGTCCGTGGCAGGTTGGTCAACTTGCAAAACAGTCACTCTCCACAAAGCAATACCTTAGCGCCTGTAACCGAGAAGGGCTCTTGCCCTCGACAGATCCCTTCGTCACGGGCCACTCTGACTGCATAAATGCCAAGGCTCAGGGCCTTTCAGACCGAGACCTTTTGGCTATATGCGAAATGCTTGACACCGGCTCTCCCGTGCGAGAGTTAGACTTGGAAGGGAATGCATCCATCTCAGAGAAAGCTTTCATGCATCTCTTCACTTATTTTCAAGACTCCACGGATGGTCAAAGAGAGAGGCCTCGCAATCGGAACCTCCAGAAGCTGAGTTTGGCCGGTTGCCCCAATTTGGTGCAAGATGAGCCCTTTGCAGGCCTCATTCAGTTGCTGAACTCTGTGAGCATGCAAAACTTGCTGTCTTTGAACCTGGCGGGTTTGGCGATTGGCGTGAATTGGCAGGTTCCCCTTTGCAAAGCTATTAGAAATCACAGTTCCCTCAAAACTCTATCCTTGGCGGACACAGGGCTTGGCACCAGATCCTCAAGTGATGAGGACGACAACACGATGATTTGCATTGTGGAGTTGCTTAGCAGTCGAAGTATAGTGCACTTGGACCTCAGTTGGAACTGCTTCGGTGCGCTTGGATTCGACTTCCTCGGCCAGAAGTTGATTGAGTTGGGCACGCTGGAAAAACTGGACCTTGCGAGCTGCTCAACCTTGTCCAAAAAGTCGCCTTGGAGCTCTTCCATGGTTTACTTGCTTGAGCATCTGAGTGAAAACACATCCTTGCAACTCTTGAATATTTCAGGGAACTACTTGGACTTTCGAGCAGCACTTCTTCTTGAGGACTCTCTGGAGAACAACACGGTCTTGCGAGAGATGGACGTGTCACACAACGGTCTCGGCAATTTGGGGATTCGCAGCTTGCTACGCTTACTTGCGAGAAAAACATCAGGCTTGCAATATTTCCATTTCGAGAATTGCAGCAAAGGCACAGTCGTTGGAGCCCGGACAGATTTGCAAATATTCCGTGCATCTCGCCCTCAAGGGCGGTACAAGTTTGATTTGGCACAGCCCTATCATCGGACCTTGCTTCGCATGCTGTACAAAACAGCAGAGCGACTCAATGTGGCTTTCGACCAAACCTTCCGCGACATGACTGCTTCCCCGCCTTACAGTCATGCATCCAAGAATTCCAGTGGCATCTACTCACTACCACAGGCTGGTACTCTTGAGCTGACATTTACCATGGATAAGGTGCTCGAGGACAGAGCTGCCCTGGCAAAGGGCAGTTCAGACTCTTTGGAGTTTAACTCAGTGCTCACGTGCCATGCCCAGTTGCTGCGGATCTTGCCCGGCCGCTCAAAGCAAGTTGCGCTGCTGGCTCAATGGAGGCGGATGGAAGGCTTGCGAGAGGAGCAAAGCATCATGATTGATGCTTTGTCCAAAGACTTCCGACTTAGCTTCGCTCAGATCGCAGTAATGTGCCAAGACCGGGCTCAGATTTGGGATGTTATGGCAAGCCTTCAGTGCACTCCGCTTGAAAGCCCCTTGCAAGCCTATTTGGGAATGCGCCTCATTCCCAATTCCTGTGACTATGTGAGAATGCTTCAGCGGTCAGCACGGCAATTCTCGTTCAACGCTGACAATCCTACTGGTCATTATTCTTTGGACATGTCCAATCCGGTGGATTATGGAGTGGCCGAAAGCCTGGCAATCCTAGACAACTGGGAGGGCATTCTGCGAACAAGGGAGGGCGGGACAGACACCTCGCAGCTCGGCAACAACTCTCACGCCCGCAACGTTCAGCATGCAAATTGCCCCCTTCCATGCAGTCTCACAGATTGGATTCTCGCAGAAAGCGACATCCTCGAGCTGGACTACAACAGTTCTCAGCGGCCGAAAGGCGCTGAGCCTGTGAAAGATGACCAGTTCGAGCTTATCATCACGGCTTTGCTCCAGTTTGCACGGTCTCCTTCTCGCTGCCGGCTACAAGCTCTTCTGCAGATTTCCCACACACTTTACTTGACATGCTTGCAGCTACGTCAAATTCTTGACCTCTTCAAAGATTCAACTACTCGCTGTGATGCCTTCGCGATGTTTTACAACCGCATTGCGGATATCCAATTTGAGAAACTCGTGCGGATGAGACTAGACGATGATGCATCAACTTCCATGTTGCAACGGTTAGGCTATGCCGCAAGCTTCCCCTACCTCCAACCGGAGCAGATTCACATTCAGTTGAGCTTCAAGAACTTTGACGAGAGGCTGTTGGTAAGTTCTCTTCTGAAGCTGTCTGGAAAGGAAAGTCCATCCAACCTGAAGGACCCTTTATACACTTCCGGAGAAGGCACCGTGGATCCACTCACGCTCGGAATTCCTAAGTCTTGGGAACAGATGTCGAACGTACCAAAGCACGGTGTCTTCGAGGCGGAGTACGTGTGCCGAGCCGACCAGCGCAGCTTCAAGATGAGGAAAGATCTTCTCGAGCAGATGGGAAGCTGGCAAACGGAAATCGGAGAGGAAGATGTGTTCCTCTGCAGCTTCACCAGCAAGTTGCCTGCCGATGTCCTTTTGCTCACAACTTGGATGATAGCGAACTGCGAAACTCTTCCAGCTGCATTCGCACAGATGAGGCAGGACAAGGACAAGGATGCCGACGGACAGATGAGCAGCCGTGAGTTCGAAGAAGGATGCAAACGAATGGGATTTGCCAGATTCAAAGGGCCGGGGGAGCAGCATCGTTTCCAGACGGTGTTTCGATTCATTGATGTTCGTTCGGAAGGCAAGATTTCGCTGAAAGATTGGGATGCTCTGAGATATGTGGAGCAGGACCCGCCAGCATTTTGCATTGGCTGAAAGACAGCCGTGTTTAGCACGAAATCATTTCAGTTTTATGAAGTTCGCTGGTAGCGTTTGCAGTGTTTGTCATGTCATGAAGGGACAACAAGTCAGCTTTTCTTCCTCTCATGGCTGCGGGTCATCCTTGGTCCTTGCAGTTCTTGAGCTTTGTTCAATGCACATTGCCGGAGCGGGCTGAAGGCTTCAACGGATTTCTTATATTTCTGGTAGGAAGCAAACTTGTGCTCAAGCGTACTGAACCAGTCAACAAGTTCGTGATGTTGCACACACTCGTCCCGTCGAGCGCGCTACACTGAACTGCTGGCCCCTCGCCTTTGAAATGACGGAGCCAGGTACGGAATCCCCAGCATGTTGTGGACATCACTGACTAATTGACCAGCACGTACAATCGCGCGCGTACACTTATGAGCACAGCACCCCTTAATAGATGAGAGACCTCATGCGCCAGCTTTGCCAAGCTCACGAGTGATTGTTCGGCAGACATCGCAGTGTGCCTGTGTGCATGTATGTACATAAGGTCAAGAAGAGTATACAAGGAATCCACTCAATGGCTCGTTATGGCTCGTTTGAAGCTCGCATTGCTACCGCCACACATGATAGCGCACCACCAGAATTGACCTCCTCTTGCTCGTGGGCAGGCCACCATTTCCCGGCTTCGTGCGACATGTGTGTTGATTGAGATGAAAATGTTTTGTTTTTACATTTTTGCCAATCGAGTGAATTACTTTAGACTGCCGGTCGCAGGATCGTAGGATTGCGGAGGATGGGTGAGCCGACATTTAACATGGCACTCGCACTACTCGCAACCCTCACCCGGGTTGTTCCGAGGCGTGGTCTCACAGGTGACAGTGATGCGATACAGAAGCTCAACACAGGGCAACCCGTTCCCATGCACCGGAACACTTTCCTTGCAAGGGCTCATGATTAGACAGGTTGCATACCAGCTCTGGTGCCTTTCCTGCGAGGATCTGAAATTATGCATTGGGGAGACGATGCTATGTTGTCGACGGCTCTTTGGTGACGTGGCAAGTTCTTGGGCTGCGCTTAGTGACGGCACTGCCACGATGACGCTGGAGGAATGGCAAGAAGCTTGGGATACGCTGGGCTATTTTGGTCCGGTTGCGCAAGTCTTTGCGTTTTTGGACAAAGATGGTTCTGGCAGCTGCAGCAGCACTGCCTTTGAGCAGCTGTCAAAGCATGAGGTGCCGAATCTTGGCAAGAAATTAGACTAGCCTGGCGTGTTGGACTATGCTGCAGTTGCACAGTTCTGAGTTTCATCGGATACAGAAGCTTAGGCATGGGCAACTAGGATCTGTCCCTACTCAGTCCCTACTCTTGCTCTCCCCTATTCTCCCCTCCTCGCAATGTGCAGGATCAAACAACATGACTAACCTGATCACTGAATACTCGGACACATGTGCATGGCACTGATTACATGTTCCGAAATTGTCCATGTGACAGGTTCGATGCTACAAGCAACTGTCCCAACATGCTTTCTAAGGTTGCAGGACATGCTGGGCGGAGCGAAACAAGAGTCATGAAGGTTGTCAATACTGATCTGAAGCGTCCTGGAGCCTCTCGGACGGAGTTCACGATGCTTTCATTGCTCTCACGCCATGCTTGCATTGCCAGCAGATGAGCGTTTCACGAAGCAAGTTTTATAGGTTTCACGAGTGGAAAGTGCCGGCAGCACTGTCCGAGCGACACTGCTGGACCGGAGAAAGAAGCACATGGAGGCACACATCGCAGCGCAGTGTCGTCATCGCTGTACCGGTGTAGCTCCATGGTTGCCTGTGTGCAGTTTTCGTTCTCCACCGATTCCTCTGGTTGCCACGAGTTGTTCTCCTCCTCCCTGCCACAGCCATCCATGACGGCATGAAGTTGTCAGTTGCTGGCGACGTTTGAGGCTTTCTATTTTCACTCAGAATGTATGGGTCTGGCGCGAATTACCACAAGCCCAGCAATGAACCGCCATCAGCATTCCACCCTGCAGCTCCGGAGTTTGATTGACAGAATTCTCGAATCCTGTGGGCACTTTGCGACGGCAAGCGATGGCACCTACCGACTTGATTCAGGACTTGCTCAAACGAGCCCACACGGAGGCCCCATGTTCTAATCGTGTTGTACTTGTGCTGACTTATGCTGCAATTGAACCAGTTCGCTCTGCCGGTTGTGCTGGTCAGGTGGCGCAGTCGGTCCTCCAGGATGTTGAAGGCTATGCCAATCCGTCGAATCTACGTTTTCGTTCTGTGGTTGTGTGCTTCCTGAGGCAGGATGCCTCTCCAGCTGCCAACTCTTTTGCTGCGGGTCCCCAGGCAGGAGAATGTCGAGTGGCACACTGCACTCCAACAGCCCAAGTCGAGTCGTTGACTGCATCGAGAACGGGTGAAACTGAGTCAATTTGAATCGGTCGGATTCTCTTGTGTTCGGGCACGCTTTCGGGATATCCCGGATCCTCAGCCGACACCAAGATACACCAGGCACACCAGATTCGGTCGTCGACCGATCACGCCAGACTCCTGATTGTCACGAAAGCATCCAATGATGGATCCCTCGTTGCAGAATGGGACTTCCCCGAGTGGGATTGAATGGCTAGGAATCGAAGGTACGGAACCCTGCCGCTTGCGAGAGAAGTCCAGAAGGCTTGCCCAAAAACGGTGCGCTGAGAACGTGAATCATCCTGCCGACAAATGCACTCGAGCGCGGAGTGGCAATTAGTGACTGGGCTGGACCCAATGCCCCACTCGGTTTTGCAAGATAAGCCGTTCAGCAAGTCAAACGACAGTTCGGTCAAGGCTCCAGGACTCTAGCAGACTCTAGCATTGCAGCCCAGGTGTGGTTCAGGGAGCTTCGCTTGAGAAGCGCGAACTTGGAAACTCAGTGCATCTCGGTGCATCAGATCATCGGGCGAAGCGTCGTCAGAAGTCAGGTGAAGCACAGCATGTGGCAGAGCTTTAGACGAAGCACAGTGCGACAGCTTTAAAAGCTTCACCAGTCAGCTTTATGGTTTTGCCAACCACCGCGGGTCAACGCCCTTGTTACAGCCATTCGGCACTCATAGGGCAAAGGCTGTAGTTGAGCCTGGCAAAAGAGGACAGGAGTAGCAAGCACGTGCTATGTATGTTATGTTTGATGATGGGGAGCAAGCACCCTGGCAGATTGCAGAGTGGGTCGAACGCTCCCCACGGCAACTACGTGCTGCTGACTCAGGAAGTGCAGCATGTAGTCATAGACGATGGGTTAGTAAAATTTGCAGCACTTCGGAAGTATTTCACGGATATGAGGTACGATCTGCTGCTGCCGTGCTCCATTCCGAACCACTCTCGCCTGGTGTTTTGACCGTCGCAGCATGTTGCAGCTTGAACAGTGTCGAGCTTTGTTGCACTCAACAGGTACCTGTTGACGTATTTATGCGCTGACCAGAAAGAAAAGATCTCGGTGTCGCTGCCTCATATGTTGTTAACTCCTCAAACCGCCTGCTTCCGTGCACAGAGAGTCTGAATGAATCTGGGACCATCTGACCAAGCACCGCGCCTGCTTTGAGGATGACATGTGCGGGTGCGACGGAATTGCAAAATCTTGCAAAGACCGCGTGTTACTCGCATCACGTGCATGCCAATTTGCGCACGTGTGCATGTGCATCAGTTTGCTGACGTGAGTACCGTGTTTATTTTGCACATAGCGCCAGAGATTGGCATGACATGCACGACATGCATCCGTCGGCATGCCACATGAATGCATGCGCGGAGTTTAACAACTACGCCTCCGTGCATGCTCTCTTCCCTTTTCCCACCGTCCATCCATCTATCTTTGATTGTCCACACCGCCTACATCCGCCTACATCCCACGTCGTGCCTCCGTACGGCACCGCTACGTACAAGTGCACACACTTGCATGCCTTCGCATGTTGAATATTTAATTGGCTACCGCCAAGTGCCGCCGACCCCCAGAGAGCTTTTCAGCAGCTACAGCTGTTACTGCTGCCGGAGGAGCAGGAGTAGTAGTAGTAGTAGTAGTAGGAGGAGGAGGAGCAGGAGTAGGAGTAGGAGTAGTAGTAGTACTAGTAGTAGTAGCATGACGACGACTTCGTTGTCCGTTAGGACGACAGCGACGACAGCGTTCGTTAGGACGACAGCGACGACAGCATTCGTTAGGACGCATGACGACGTCGTCGTCCGTTAGGACGACAGCGACGACAGCGTTCGTTAGGACGCATGACGACGACGTCGTCGTCGTTCAAAACCCTACTAGACCCGCAACCCTAAAACCCTAAAGCCCTAAGACCTAAGCCCTAAAACCGAGAAGTGTACCAAGCCGATAAGAACCCTGAGCCCCTGAACCCCAAAGGCCTAAACCCCAAGCCTAAGCCCCTAAATCCTAAAACTTTCACCGTGAACCTTGAACCACCCTAAGCCTCAACCTTTGGGTGCTAACTTTTAAACTTATATATTCTTTAAATGCCCCTAAACCCTAAAGCCCTTGCACCCTTTAAACCCTCAACCTACCCTCAACCTAAGGCCCTCAGCCACTACTCCACACCCTGAAGCCTAAACCCTGGAACCGAAATCCCTAAGCAAACCAAGCTTAAACCCTGGCCCCTCTACCGTCCCGCCCCCGCCAAGAGCCTCCTTGACCTTAGCTTCGACCCCTAGTCCCCGTGGCCTCTCCCCAAGCCCCGCCCCTTCTTGCTCCTCATGTTGCCTGGTCCTGTCGTCGCCCTCTTCGCGGACTTCGTTTCTGCAGCCGGGGGCCACAGATCTGAGGTTTAGCCGTCGAAGGCCAGTTTTTTTTCGGAAGGTTGTTTTGGTGGTTTGACTCGTCTGCAGCGCGTGGGACGAACGTCCGTTAGGACGATCGTCCGTGGTCGTCCGTTAGGACGACAGCGTCCGTTAGGACGCATCCATCGTCGTCCGTGAGGACGACAGCGTCCGTTAGGACGCATGGGACGAACGTCCGTTAGGACGATCGTCCGTGGTCGTCCGTTAGGACGACAGCATCCGTTAGGATGCATCCGTCGTCGTCCGTTAGGACGACAGCGTGCGTTAGGACGCATGGGACGAACGTCCAAGTGGGACAGATTAGGGCCGAGTAGGGCTGAGTGGGGCCGGGTGGGGTTGAGAAGGGGTTGGGCACTGACAGGAAGCGCCAAGTGGGACAGAGTAGGGCCGAGTGGGGC